GGCTTGAACTCAGGGCCTGGGCACTGTCCCTGAGCTTCTTTTGCTCAAGGCTAGCACTCTGTCACTTGAGCCACAGTGTCACTTCTGGCCTTTTCTGTTTATGTGGTACTGAGGCTTCATGCATGCTAGGCAAGCACTCTACCACTAAGCCATATTTCCAGCTCTTAGGCCTTTTTTTTTTTTTTTTTTAACCCTGGGACAGCAGCCCAGAATTTGCAGGTCTGTGGTGGCAGGGAAAGCAGGACCCACTGAGTCTCAATGTGCCCAGGGCAAAGCAAGAGGCTCTAGGGACTACTGAGGTACTCTGTGTCTCCTGAAGGCTCACCAGCCACTGAGGTATTGGGACTGTGCCCAGCCCATTACCCCTTTCCAGGAATTATCTAAGGAATTATCTAAGTCTGCCCTAAGGAATTATCCAAGGAAATTTGGAAAACAAAAAAAAAGTTTGTAAGTCCCCCACTTGAACTCAACTACTTGTAGCATGTCAGTGTATTCCTTTCCCCTGGGGACTGGGGAGCTCCTCTTTCCTTGACTCTCTAGGATAATCACATTTATTGGAACTTTAAAAAAAAAAAAAAAACTGGTCTGGGGCTTGAACTCAGGGCCTAGGCACTGTCCCTGAGCCTCTTTGTGCTCAAGACTAGCACTCTACCACTTGAGCAACAGCACTATTCCAGCCTTTTCTGAATAGTTTTTCGGAGATAAGAATCTCATGGATTTTCCTGCCAGGGCTTGCTTGGGACCATGATCCTCAGATCTCAGACTCCTGAGAAGCTAGGTTACAGGTGTGAGCCCCAGGCTCACTTCTTTATTTCCTAGTTAGATAGATAATATTCTTACTACAGAGAAACATGAAATCTTTAGAAACTTGCAAGCACCTTGTACTCCTGTTTCTGGAGAAGGCTGGTTAGTTCTTGTATTTTAGTCATAGGGTTTGATTTAGTGTCATCAGTTAGAGCAATGGGGTCCTGGTTGCCACCCAAACTGACATTCATACCTCTGCCTGGCTTTAGCCTCTCACTCTAGTGTCATTACTGTACCTCTTGTCCTCTGATCCTTGCTGGCTCCCACATCTAAATGAGGCTGTCCCCTGGACCTATGGGTAAGATGAGGGAAGCTGTCCTGGAGGAGGTCCTGGGCTGGGCCTGAGCAGTGTGGTTCTTCTGGCAGGCCCACTATTCCACAGGGAAGGTCAGCGCCTCCTTTACCTCCACTGCCATGGTGCCGGAGACAACTCATGAAGCAGGTACCCACCTTTTACTCTTTCGTCCCCAAGTGTGTGGGTGTAATTGTCACCAGGCAGGACTTCCCCACCATTGTCGTGCCTGCCCCTCAAGATCCACAGAGCTAAGGAGTCAGGTTGGCAGTTTTCTTGCAAGGTAAGTTTTGTGTCAGGTGGACAGGTATGAGACTGGAAAAGCACAAGTTTGACCAGGAGATGCTGTCCTCACCATGTGACCTGCCCCCTGCCCCTGGATCCCTGTTCTTTCAGGCTCCTGGGCCTCTAGCACCTAGGCTGACCTTGACATAGACCTTCTGGGTTCTCATCTTGCTAGTGGCTCACACTGTCACCCAAGTTTTGGCTCCTTCCTGTCCTATTGCTACTCCTCAATCCATGCATTTCCTCTCTTCCCCTTTTTGTGCCTGTCCTGGGGCTGGAACTTTGGGCCTGGTCATTGTGTTTGAGTTTTTGTGCTCAAGGCTAGTACTCTACCACTTGCGCCTCAGCTCAACTTATGGCTTTTCTGTACTTAATTGGAGATAAGAGTCTCATGGGGTTTCTTGCCTGGTCTGTCTTTGAACTTCAGTCCTTAGATCTCAGCCTTTTGAGTGGCTAGGATTACAGGTATAAGTTACCAGCACTTGGCAAGAACCCTCTTGTTAGTTGCTGGGCCCTATTTGCCCTATGTGGCCCCCAACTCCATAGTGTACAGACAATCCTAGACATAGCTAGGCCAAACTCATGCCCTCTGTTCCTGTGCTGCTGGGAGAGCTGTGGAGCTGGGCCTGCATAGAACATGATGACGTGGGGCCTAGGTAATGGGGCTGCCCTAGGTCCAGGGCAGGTGCAGAACTCAGGCCTCTGTTTGTAGCTGCCATCGATGAAGATGTGCTGCGTTACCAGTTTGTGAAGAAGAAAGGCTATGTACGACTGCATACCAATAAGGGAGATCTCAACTTGGAGCTGCACTGTGACCTGGTAGGTATTGTGGGTATCCTCTCCACCCAGTGCAAAGTCATTTCAGGGTCAACCGATAACCATGTCTTAAATATGGAGCTGTAGTTACATGTGCTTATAGAAAATCCTGTCTGCCCAAGAGGATACTGAGGTGCCCTGGCTTCCTTCCTTGGGACTGTTGGCCTTGTGCATTCCCTGGCTGCCTGGTGGGTGTATGTGCAGGAATGAATGCATCCCAGTTCCTGCTCTGATCCACAGTGGCTACAGGGATCCTGTTGTTGCTCTGGGCACTCCCTTATCCTGTTAGGGCTCTGTAGCTCATGAAGCTTCCCTTGTCTGCTGCATGGTGAAGACTTGCATGGCTTTTGTGACTTTGCTGGTGCCTGCCTGTGCCTCACAGAAGTATTGGGCTGTTTTACAGACACCAAAAACCTGTGAAAACTTCATCAAACTCTGCAGGAAGCACTATTACCATGGCACCATCTTTCACAGGTCCATCAGGAACTTTGTGGTGAGGACAAAAGGCAGCATTATCCACAGATGGGTTTGTAAACATGGGGGGCATTTGGGAACCCAGGTCCAGGGACCTGGGCCAGGCTGTGGTGCCAGGGCATGGAAGGGCCTGTCAGGAAATCTGTGGGCTGGACCTCGAGTGCCTAGTCCAGGCAGACCTGGGTTCTGACAGAGGTGGTCTAGAAGGCCCTTGTCCTCACTGAGGCTCAGGGCCTCTGGGGAGTTGATGGAGCAGGTGGGGAATGTATTCAGTCAGGGCCAGCAGTGGACAGTAGGCCTCAGGCTGTAGCAGAGCCCCTCAGGCTGCCTTGCTTACTACTTTTGTTCTTACAGATCCAGGGTGGTGACCCCACAGGCACTGGCACAGGTAAGTACCAATGCCAGGCCTGTCCCTGACAGCTTTGGCTGCTATGTGGGCCTGAGGGCCAGATGGGCAGGGATGTGGAATCTGACACCAAGAGTAGAATTGCAACTCAGCCTTGGCTCTGTGCCACCCATGGCATGCCTCTTGGATTTTCCATCTTGAGGTGGCTGTGAGGTCTCCATGGTAGGTAGAGAGAATGCTGCCTGGTGCCAACAGAACCTATCAGGACTTAAAGGGAGACCTGAAGGCCTGAGATCCTTGTCTGACCTCTCTCCTGCTTCCTCTCAAACTTCCCTACTCTGCCAGTTGCATAAGCCTAGCCCCCACTTTGCCCTGTGCATGGCCTTACAGCTTTGACCCTTAGGCCTCAGTCTCATGAAGGCAGGATGCATGGACAGCAGCTAGCCTTCAGGAAGATTGGCTGTGGGGTACCTCAGAGCCAGGGTTCTCTTCAAAGTGATGTCTCTTCAAGGAGACATCAGTGAATGCCTGATGTCTCCTAGGCTGAGGTTTCTATGGCTGCCAGCTGATTGTACTTCTTCTGTTCCAGGGGGGCAATCGTACTGGGGCAAGCCCTTCAAAGATGAGTTCCGGCCCAACCTCTCTCACACAGGCCGTGGCATCCTCAGTATGGCCAACTCCGGGCCCAACACCAACAAGTCTCAGTTGTGAGTCTGTCCCCTAGTGTCATAGCTGGCTTATAGGGTGGGTTAAGGAAGGTTCTTCTGATCTGCTGGTTTTGTCTGGTTATGCTAAGTCTGAATGAAAGCCAGTATGCAGCATACCTAGGCCAAGCATGCTCTGAAAAGGGAGCCCATGCCAAGTAAATTGGGGGCAGAGCAAGTGCCTTGTGAGAACTGGCCCTCACTGGAGGGGCAGCACTGACAGAACCAGAGCTGTTTGTGAGTAGCTAGGACATTGGATGGGTGTGTTGTGAGGAAAATGTGTAGAGGACAGGCAGCCAAGTGAATGTGCTGGGAGACAGAGGCTTGGGGATAGAGGGACTCTGTGTCAAGTGTTGCTGTAGGGGGAGGACTGGCAGTGTCTGTAGATGCCTGACCATGTGGGCTGGATATTGTGAAATAGGCATGCATTACTACATATGTCCACCATCTAAGAATGTCTTTTTTTTTTTTCTTAAGAATTTTATTATGGGCTGGGCGCTGGTGGCTCACGCCTGTAATCCTAGCTACATCAGGAGGCTGAGATCTAAGGATCGCGGTTCAAAGCCAGCCCGGGCAAGAGAGACCGTGAGACTCCTATCTCCAATAAACCACCGGAAAACCGGAAGTGGCGCTGTAGCTCAAGTGGTAGAGCGCTCGCCTTGAGCTGAAGAGCTGAGGGACAGTGCCCAAGCCCAGAGTTCAAGCCCCACGACCGACAAAAAAAAAAAAAAAAGAATTTTATTATGGGCTGGGAAGGTGGCTCAGTGGTAGAGCACTTGCCTTGCATGCATGAGGCCCTGGGTTAGATTCCTCAGCACCACATAAGCAAAAAGAAAAATGCCAGAAGTGGCACTGTGGTTCAAGTGGTAGAGCGCTAGCCTTGAGCTGAAGAGCTGAGGGACAGCGCCCAGGCCCAGAGTTCAGGCCCCACGACCGGACTCAAAAAAAAGAAAAAAAATATTTTTATTATGTGGTGCTAGTCCTGGGGCTTGAACTCAGGGCCTGGGCACTGTCCCTGAGCTTTTTTTGCTTAAAGCGAGCACTCTACCACTTGAGTCACAGTGCCACTTACAGCTTTTTCTGTTTTTGTGGTGCTGAGGAATCGAACCCAAGGCTTCATGCATGCTAGGCAAGCACCCTACCACTAAGCCACATTCCCAACCCTTTTTTTTTTTTTTTTTTTGATGTTGTTGGTCATGGGGGCTGAACTCTGGGCCTAGTGCTGTCCCTCAGCTCTTCAGCTCAAGGCTAGGGCTCTACCACTGGAGCCACAGCGCCACTTCTGGCTTTTTTCTGCTTATGTGGTGCTGAAGAATCAAGTGCATGCAAGGCAAGCACTCTACCACTGAGCCAACATCCCAGCCCCTGAGGTTTTTTTTTTTGGGTCCGGTCGTGGGGCCTGAACTCTGGGCCTGGGCCCTGTCCCTCAGCTCATCAGCTCAAGGCTAGAGCTCTACCACTTGAGCCACAGCGCCACTTCCGGCTTTTTGCTTATGTGGTGCTGAGGAATCGAACCCAGGGCCTCAGGCATGCAAGGCAAGCACTCTACCACTGAGCCACCTTCCCAGCCCTGAGGTTTTTTTTTTTTTGAGATAGGATTTTACTATGTAGTTTGTTTTTTTTTTGGTCGGTGGGGCTTGAACTCTGGGCCTGGGTGCTGTCCCTGAGTGCTTCCATTCAAGGTGAACGCTCTACTACTTGAGCTACAGCGTCACTTCTGGTTTTGTGAGTGGTTTATTGGAGGTAAGAGTCTCATGGACTTTCCTGCTTAGGCTGGCTTTGAACTGTGATCCTTAGATCTTATCCTCCTTAGTAGCTAGAATTACAGGCATGAGCCCTCGGGTGCCCAGCTGGATTGTTTTAACTTACCCTGACAGCCTGGTTCAGTGTAAGAGAGTCTAAGTGCTCATAAGGGAGTTATACTTGGCTTAGTGCCCCTTCCCAAATCCCAGCCACTTCCCCAGAGCAACTGTATGGGCAAGCTCAACTGTCAGCCTCTCCTACCATGCTGTGGGACAGGGCCTACCCAACTGCAGGTTGGCATCTGACAGAGGGGCCATGTTTTGGGCTTAGTCTGGGAGCTGGAGGTCCTGCCCCAGGGGGTCCTGCAGTGGGTGGGTGGCAATGTGGGATGTACAGTCTGCAGAGTGGGTCCTGGACTCTCCTGGACAGTCTCCTATGTGGACCCAGCAGCTGGCAAGGGACGGGCTGGGCTGGGAAGGTGGCTCAGTGGTAGAGTGCTTGCCTTGCATACATGAGGCCCTGGGTTTGATTCTTCAGCACCACGTAAGCAAAAAGAAAAAAAAGCCGGAAGTGGCACTGTGGCTCAATGGTAGAGCGCTAGCCTTGAGCTGAAGAGCTGAGGGACAGCGCCCAGGCCCAGAGTTCAGGCCCCATGACTGGACCAAAAAAAAAAAAAGAAGGGACGGGCTGCCAGGTGCCCGTGGCTCTGCCTGTAATCCTAGCTACTCAGGAGGCTGAGATCTGAGAATCTGGTTTAAAGCCAGCCCAGACAGGAAAGTCGTGAGACACTTATCTCCAATAAACCACTCAGAAAACTGGAAGTGGCACTGTGGCTCAAATGGTAGAGTGCTTGCCTTGAGCTGAAGAACTGAGGGACAGGCCCAGAGTTCAAGCCCCACAACTGACAAAAAAAAAAGGTGGGGGGGACGGGCTGAGCTTTATAACTCTCTGACCCTCTTGTCTTTCTCCAGCTTTATCACATTCCGCTCCTGTGCTTACCTGGATAAGAAGCATACCATCTTTGGACGGTAAGAGCAGCTGCTCTGTGGGCTGTCTTTTCCCCAGACATACACTTGTGCTCACTAAGCCCACGTTATGACCCTGCTAGGGACTATGATATACAGACTGGGGAACCTTAGTTCTCCACACCTGTCAGGCTGTGGAAGGAGATGAGTCCTAGCCCCACCTGGCCAACTGCCCTGGCTCAGACCCTCTGCCCTCCCATGTTGGGCATCTTTTGACTGGTGCTTTCCATATCCTCTAGTCTGGCTTGGCAGGTTTTCCCCTAAAGACCTAGATTGTATTCTAGTTTGGTGGGCTGTACAGTCTGCAACAACTAAACAAGGAAGCAAGTGGTATAGTTTTCTCCAAGTAGCACTTTTTTCCCTGGCCTGGTGAGAACTGGATCTGTGTGGGCTGTGGGCTGCTAATCCACCTCTTCTGGCTGGCAGCCCCACTTATTGTCCAAGGACTGTCAGGATCTTCTAAGCACTGGCCCTTTGTGAGGCCCTGCACCGAGGGCCAGTCCCCATCCTAGTGTGCATAGGGGTGTCCTATGTTGGGTACCTGCAGCCCCATCTCTGACTCTCTGCTTCAGGGTTGTTGGGGGCTTTGATACGCTGACAGTCATGGAGAATATAGAAAGTGACCCCAAAACTGACCGCCCTAAGGTAAGTGCCCGGGGAGAACAGAAGGAACACCCCGATATACTGGCTGGGAAGAGTCTGTACCTACTCACTGCTCCCATCTGCCACCAGGAGGAGATCCGCATCCACACCACCACGGTGTTCGTGGACCCATATGAGGAGGCAGATGCCCAGGTGAGGGCATGGTGTGGCCACATGGGACACATCTCTGAGCATGTATCCTTCCTAGCCGGGGCAGGGCAGCCCTGCACCTGAGGTGCTCTGGGTCAGCCACAATCCTGTTCCTCTCCAGATTGCCCAGGAGCGGAAGAAGACACAGCTTGAAGAGGCCCCAGAGACTAAGGTCAAGACCAGCCAGCCCCAGTCTGGTAGCCAAGGCCCCCAGACTTACCGTCAGGGGGTGGGCAAGTACATCAACCCAGCAGCCACGTAAGTGCCACCATCCATATACCTTGAGACAGCTGGAATCATTGTCCAGTATTCTCAAGAAGAGCAAATCAAGTGGTAATTAGAAAATTGAGACCAAGCTTGTAGTCTGGAAGCTTCCACAGCCAGGAGGCCCAGCTATGCAGGTCTAGATGAGCCTATGTGTAGGCTGAGGCTGGGACCTTGGGAAAATCACTATGAGGGAGTCACGGGGCTTGGTTCAACTCAGATCTGGCAGCAGCTGGAATCTCTCTTTTCAGGAAACGAGCAGCAGAAGAAGAGCCATCAACCAGCTCAGCCTCTGTGACCAAGAAAAGGCCCAGCCGGGGTTTTGGAGACTTTAGCTCCTGGTAGCAGTGGGCTGCCACCCTGGATCTGGGTAGGGATGCAGGGATGGCAGGTTATGTCCACACCACTGTGTTCTCTGCCCTTGTAAGCTGCCTAACAGGCTCGGATTCAATAAAACCATTGCCTGTTGCCCCATTCCTGGCCCCTGGGAGGAATCTGGCTCCTTTCTAAGGTTTGAACTGATCCTTTTGGGTCTGACTTTCCACCTTGCCTGGAGTGCTGCTATCTGTAGGCAGGCCAGGATTATTGACAAGTCGAATCCCTACCAGGTTTTCCTGTCCTCTCTGTCATCTTAAGGATGACCCATGTGCTTAGTAAGCATGGTCACCTGACCAGTGCTTAGAAATATAAATTCTCACCAACTGGGTGTTGAGGTACATGTTTGTAATCCAAACACTTGACAGGTTGAAAGCAGAGATGGAGAACTGAACTATATGGCAAGACCATGTCTCAACAAAACATCAGGCTCTAGAGCTGACCCTTATGCAGAGCTTAACTCCCCAGTGGAGTTTATAAGCTGGTGGATTTTACAAACCATTTCTAGCTACTGTCTATTGCTTGGGTTGGGCTTACCCACCCTGCTAGCTGCTCACCTGCTCTGCTGTCAGCCATGACTGCTTGAGGCTAATGTGTGTGAGGACAGCAGGGAGTCTTCCAGCTGAGGAAGGGGCCTCCCGATGCTCCGAGCCCAGCCTATCATCGTCTTCTCTGGCTTGCACACCACAGCGCCAGCTTCTTCTCTTGGCCCTGTGAAATATGTCCAAATCCCTCACCTGCTTCTTACTGCTTGTTGTTCAGCCTCAGTCCCCCGATCTCAGGACCTGCTATTTCATCCTCCAAGAGCTTCTTCAGAAGTGTGGAGACAGTGTCATAGCAGTGTTCTGTCATTGCCTGGGCTCCCTGTTGACTTTGCATTACCACTTCTTTCCAGTCCATCAAATTCTAACTTAAGCTTGATTCTTGGTTTTCTCTTTCTTCAAGTTCTTGAATTTTCAAAGACTTCAAAGCTCTTAATTCTAGAACGTACTTTGGCCTATGCTTTTTTCATCTTTGAAGCAAAGTCCTTTGTCTTTTGGGTGGCAGGTAGGGAATGCCTCCCCCCACTGGCCTCCGCCCACTCTGCCCTTGCTCACTTCCACATGGCTGGTGGGTGAGCTTGAGGCACGTTTGTCCTGTCATGCTTGTCACTGGCCGAGAACAGGTCTTTACCCCTTGCCTGCAGCCACCTGGCTCCACAGTGACCTCCTAGCCCACCTTCCCAGTTTTCCACCTGCTCTGACTCCAGGCCACCTGCCACCTCACACAGCAGAGAGAGGCCTCAGCAGGATGCTCACTACCTAGTGACCATGTACCTGTTGGCCTCTGATGCAACACTAGGGTGCTCAGAGGTGGGGCCCTCCTGGGTTTAGCGTTGTTAGTTCATCGGTGAGGACCTAGGGACTGGCTCTTCAGGACAGAGGCAGCAATTGTCCTAATTGTATTCCTGCACTTTTTTTTGTTTTTCCTGGCCACACTTAAAAGTTCCCAGCCAGGTACTGATGGAAAAGCAGGACCCCAGCAGCCCTGGATCCCTCATAGTTGCTTTGAGACTCTGTGAGCCCTGTGCTCTCACTGGGCACTCTGGAAACGAGGCTCCTGAACAATGATCACTATAGAAAGCCAAGAGTCAGAAGCTTTATTTGGACATCAGAAGCTTTATTTTTAAGCCTCACACAGACAATAGGACCAAAAGGGTGGCCAGGGGATGTAGGAGGCTGAAGGTGATGCATGTGCTTGAAGCCTGGTGGTTCTGCTCCTCATGGTCAACTTCCAGCTGCCTGCAGGCTGCTGCCCATCTGCCTCCTGCCCCTCTAGCCTTAGCCAGCAGCCTGCACCTGCCCCAGGGGAAGGCCACATCCTCCACTGTGCTTACCCTCCAGAGCAAGGACAGGGCACACAAGGGGTCTTAGACCGATGAGGGTTTACATTTCTGTAGTTCTTTTTAGAGCTTAAAATGTAACTTTGTAAGTATTCAAACCACTTGCATTTTGTAACTGCCTGATGAAGTCATCAGGTAAAATAAAAGACCTTTTGGGGAAACAAAAACAATCTCATTTCTCATCTTTTTAAGTATATGACAGATGCCATCAAGAATAAGTATGAGGTATAAAAATATATATACAAACAAAATGGCAATAAAACTAAAACACTTTCTAAAGCAAAATTGCCAAAGGTACTACAAATTTATGATACTGGCATTGCCTGCCACTGTTCTCAAGGAAAATTTTTAAATAAATAAAAGTCCCGGCATGACATTTATTGTTTAGGAACTTTAAGAGGGTGGAACATTCCAGCACTTTACCAGCATATCTGGTTATGGTCTTAGATCACTTCCCCTGAAGCCAGCTCACGGTCAGTTCATTTGGTTTAAAAAGGAGCTTGTATTTTGCAGACGACAGCAACATTTGATATAAGTTTTGTTGGAATTCATTACCAAGAAAAATACAAGTCATAAAAGTACTAGTAAAATTTTTCCAAGCAGTGCCATCACAAGACAATACAAAAACCAAAGTGCTCAAGTTGAAGGGGCAGTAAGCTTGCCCAGAACATAGAAAAGCTTTAAATAGAACCTTCGTATATACAAAAATGTGTCTGAAGAATTCTAAAAAAATTATCTTCCAATTTAAATGGAACATCTGTGGAGTCATGTTCAGACTGCCCTCGGCACCAGCAGGCTGGGACACTCAAGTTTCCCTTGGTCCTCGGAGGCTGTTTTTGCAAGAGATGTGGCAACTAGTGTCTCTCTGAGTTTCAGATGGGGGATGGAAGCCATCCGCTTTACTGCATCAAGTGCTAGTAGTGAGTGAACTACCTTCAGACACCAGACCCCAGCAGCAGGAGCACTGGGTAGCCGTGGCCAGCTCTGGGACACTGCAGGGGAGACAACTGTGCTAACTTAGTTCAGCTTCTGTAGGGAATTAACACTAGAGAAAGCAACTTCCGGGCCCAAGCCCAGTACCTGTGTTGGTTCCAGAGTCTGGATTTGGGGAAAAGTTGGGAAGCTCAAACAACTAGAAGCCTATTTCTTCCTGTCCACAGGTAGTTTCAAGGGTTTTCAGGCTCTGAGCTCCTCAGCTTCCTGCTTCTCCCCTTCCTGGGTCTTCTTCCTGGTCCTACCCTAAGTTAGGGACAGTCTATTGAAAACCAAAACTTATCTTGAGCCTTATTCTGAACTCCCATTTCTGCTGGTGGTCATGACATAAAATCTGTGACAGAAACAGAACTTGGGTCCTCCAAGTCAGTCCACGTGATGGTGCCAGGCAGGCAGGGCACCGCACAGCACAACAAATCCTTCGTTTACTAAACGTAGGCCTGTCTCTTGACTAGCTTTTTCTAAACATTTCCAAACAACCTGGTAAAAGTTTTGAAGGTTTTTTTTCTTTCCTGCTGATTCTGGCCTATTTCATATGCAAACATTTTTTTCAAGTACATCCAGGGTAGAAAAATGAAACCCGACTTTGACTGGTGAGCTACTCCACAAGGCCTGGCCACGCATCAACTGCTGTACAAAACTGCTGCACAAGTCACAGCTGAGGGGGATACCCACCCCGCAAAAAATGTACAAGCTGGTACATCAGGGCTAGGCCTGTAGGCCCCTTGGGAAAATCTGCACTGGCTCGTCTGCTTTCTAGATAAGGAATCCACTGACTGAAATAAGATGCTCATTAGACACATTCTTCTCGAAGCTTATGTAAAATGTTATGAGTGGTGGTCTGTGTTTTTGAACTGGATAGAACAAAACCACTCTTGGTATATAAATGTGTCTATAATTCTGGAAGACTTTTAGGATTAAAAATGATCGGAGTGGTGGGATCACCCTGCCGTGCTGGAGGGTTATTGAATGGACACTACACCTTTAGTAGTTTAGCTACAGGAAAAAAAAATAACCAATTTATGTGTTTAAGAATTGAAGGGGAAAACAAGCTACACTATCATTCAAGCTTCTGCTCTTGAAAGCCTGCTTCTGTGGTCTTTAGGAACATGAGAAAGCATAGGGTAGAAAGACGGTACAGGTAGATCATCAGTTGGTGAATTCTTTTTCTAGAACTTCAAAAGTTAGAAAAAGAACATTTCAAACTTTCAGAAACAACCATATATGCGAAGAGGACATAGATGGGGCTCTTTACCCAAGGAGGTGCCCAGAGGCCTTTGAGTGTCGAAGCGTGGCTAGCCTGCGAAGTTCAAGAAACACTGCCATCCAGGATGCGGTGTCTCCATTACATTCACAATCTCTTTCACAAAATAGTATTCAAGAGGGAATGGAAAGTTTCCACTTTACTCCCAACCATTGTCTTTGATCATGTGGGCCAGCTCAATAATAAATTTTCCTTCCTTATATTTCTGACTGCTCTCAAAGGCATGTTCCTTGGGAGGAAAAACAAAAGTAGAGAGAGGCATTCAGGACAAAATTGTTTCATTTTTCAACTTCCTTACATTTATTACATTATCTCTGAATGCTCAGTGTGCTGACCCAAAGTCCTTTGGAGCAGCACTGATGACCTTGTATTCTTGCTTTTTTTTTTTTTTTTTTTGCCAGTCCTGGAGCTTGAATTCAGGGTACTGTCCCTGAGCTCCTGTTGTTCAAGGCTAGTGCTCTACCATTTCAGCCACAGTGCCACTTCCAACTTTTTCTGAGTAATTTATTGGAGATAAGAATCTCATGAACTTTGCTGCCTGGGCTGGCTTCAAACCACGATCCTCATATCTTAGCCTCCTGAGTAGTTAGGATTATAAGTGTGAGCCACTGATACCCAGTGTACTCTTACTCTTTTTTTGCCAGTCATGGGGCCTGAACTCTGGGCCTGGGCGCTGTCCCTCAGCTCTTCAACTCAAGGCTAGTGCTCTACCACTTGAGACACAGTGCGGTTTTTTCTGCTTATATGTGATGCTGAGGAATTGAACCCAGGGCCTTATGCATGCAAGGCAAGCACTCTACCACTGAGCCATCTTCCCAGCCCCTGTACTCCTACTCTTAACCTATTTACGAAGCTTGGGATCTGGCTCATTGGAAGAGTGCATGCCTAAGAAACTGGGTTTGATTCCCAGCATCATAAAAATCAATACATAAGTAAAATAAAATCTATTTCCTGAGCATGTACTATATGAACATAACAATTTAGGAGTATGGAGAGTAATGTTAATACAGAGTGATGTAAACAGGTCAAAGGTGCTCAGGTCAGAACACCTTTGTGTGATCTTAGACATAGACAATGGGGTGAGTCTGCCTGATGGACAGAGAAGTGGTCCCAATGGTTGTAGCAATGGAGAGCTATACAGGGCACAGTGGCCAGGAAAGGAGGCAGAGACTGTGGAGGGCATTTACCAGGTGGAAGCAATGAGGATGTGCAAGCCTCATGGAGTGTTATCTCTCTGGCCCCTAACAGCTCATGGGGAATCGGGGGACTTGAAGAAAGAAAGCGCAAACAACCCCGACGTAAAATTCATAGCCCCAGAGAATGTGCAGGGCAGGCCTCTCAGTGCCATACTAGGTGGAGCATCTATAAGATGGCTGGTTGGCTTCTGCTGGAAAAGAAGCTGGGCAGAGGGAGAGGGCTGGAAGCTGTTGGAATAGGTATTCACAGACTCTCTAGGCTGATATGGCCCAGGGGGAAGAAAGACAGTGACACTGGCCTCTGCGGTGAGGCGTGCAGGGACCTCAGAATGCTGGAAACAGGGAGAGGGGAGGCCAGGCCTGCCTGCCTGCCTGCCTTCTTTCCTTCCTTCCTTCCTGCCAGCCCTGGTGCTTGAACTCAGGGCCTGGGCACTGTCCCTCAGCTCTTCAGTTCAAGGTTAGCACTTTACCACTGGAGCCACAGTGCCACTTCTGGCTTTTTCTGTTTTTGTGGTACTGAGGAATTGAACCCAGCTCCATGCATGCTAGGCAAGCACTCTACCACTAAGCCACATTCCCAGCCCAAGCATGTCATTTCTGACCTATCAGATCTACTGTGTGCTGACAAGAGAGGAAATCTAGGAGAAGGCTGGAGGTGGGGCTTAAGAAGCACCATTAAGGGCCGGGCGCCAGTGGCTCACACCTGTAATCCTAGCTACTCAGGAGGCTGAGATCTGAGGATCGAGGTTCAAAGCCAGCCCAGGCAGGAAAGTCCATGAGACTCTTATCTCCAATAAAACCACTCGAAAACCGGAAGTGGCCTGTGGCTCAAGCAGTAGAGCACTCGCCTTGAGCTGAAGAGCACAGGGACAGCGCCCGAGCCCAGAATTCAAGCCCTATGAAGCACCATTAACTCAAGGTACAAGGAGAAAGAAGGGTCTGGGGAGATGGGGCAGCCCTCTGTCTGACACCAGCAGATCCTGGCACTGAGAGGTCTGCTGAGCTTGCCCCAAAGAGTGGCACCCAGCTTTATGGTGCAGCCTCGCTCAGGCACCTGGGGGCTGGAGCAGCTCCCATGACCACCAGTATGATGAGGATGGTAGAATCTGGGCCTGCATTGTCCCGGACAAATTTCCAAAGAAATCAGTAGAAACTTGACCTACTGACTGATACTATCAGTCCCTGTGCAGGGGTAGGACTGTGTTGTGTGCCCATGTGTGGTATGCTATATGTACCACAACTCATGGTTAGAAGAGGTAGGTAGGGTACTGGGTATGGTGGTTTGCACCTATAATCCTAGTTACTTAGAAGGCAGAGATCAGGAAAAGTATGGTTCAAGGTCCACCTGGGAAAAAAAAAACACCCAAAAAACCAAGATCCTATCTCAAAAAATAACTAAAGTGGCCTGGGAAGGTGGCTTAGTGGTAAAGTACTTGCCTTGCATGCATGAGGCCCTGGATTTGATTCCTCAGCACCACATAAACAGAAAAAGCCAGAAGTGGCTCTGTGGTAGAGCGCTAACCTTGAACTGAAGAGCTGGGGGACAGTGCCAAGGTCCTGAATTGAGAACCCATGACCAACCAAAAAAAAAAAGCTAAATGGGGGTGGGTATGGCTTAAGTGTAGAGCACCTGCCCAGCAGGTATAAAGCCTTGAGTTCAGACACTAGTACTAGAAGAAAAAATAAGGAAGAAGAAGTAATACTCACATATTTCCATCCAAGTGTGGTCTTGCAGTTTTCGCAATAGATGTCTGCAACTGCATGCAGGCCAGTTAGAAGGACCCTCTCCTCAGCAGGGCCACAGCCCACATTCACCCTGCAGAGACATGCAATGACTGGGCTGGGGGACTGTGCCCCCAGTCCACCCCCATCATTTAAAGTTTACCAGAAACAGAACATTCTAAAGATCAGCACTACTTTCTCAGCTTTCTACACCCCTCTCCCACTTTTTTTTGTCTTCTGTGCTGGGGAACAAATTCCAAGTGCTTTTAACGCTGAGCTTTGCCCCAGTCTAGGACCATCTTGGTCTAGAACCACCTCAACATGTGGTAGGTCTGTGTGCCAGGGATTAAACCCTCAGATAAAACCATCACACTTTCAGAACCTCCCAAACATCGGGAGACTGAATTCTTTGAAAGGTCTTCTCAACGCATCAACGGGGTAATTCTAGACTGCAGGCAGCATTCCACCTTCACATTCCAGTGGAATTAACTGAACAGGTACATGGGAAAGGAAGGGTGGATGCCTTCTCACAGGGACCCCGGCTACCTGCCAGACAGACTTCAGACATGCAGGTACTCACACGGAATTGAAGAGGTAGGCTCGTCCCTGGCTTCCCTGAAAGGACTGCAAAGAAGAAGAAGGTGTTAGGAGACTTCTACGACACCATGGCTGGTGAGTTCTGCATCCCAGAATGAATAAAGAGCAAGGTGAGAGACATTGACTCAGGTGGTGAATACCTGCCAAAAGCACTATTTCTACAGGACCACTGGATTGTGTAGCAGCTCCACTAGCTCCATCAGGACAACTTATATATCCTCTCCTTCAAACTCCTTCCCTAGTAGTAAGGTTTATTAAAAGAACTAATGTTGCATTTGCAAATGGCTGGATTATAAAAATGATGCAGAGCTGAGCTCCGTGATGTGCATCTGTAGTCTCAGCTACTATTAGATGCAGGAGGATTCTTTTTTTCTTTTTGGGTCTGGTCGTGGGCCTGAACTCTGGGCCTGGATGCTGTCCCTCAGCTCTTCAGCTCAAGGCTAGCGCTCTACCACTTGAGCCACAGCACCACTTCCAGTTTTTCTTTTTGCTTATGTGGTGCTGAGGAATCAAACCCAGGGCCTCATGCATGCAAGGCAAGCGCTCTACCACTGAGCCACCTTCCCAGCCCTTGATGCAGGAGGATTCTTAAAGCCCAAGAGTTTCAAACTGGTCTGGACAACATAGTCAGACTTCATGTTAACTAAAAAAATAAATAAGCTGAGCACTGGTGGCTCATGCCTATAATCCTAGCTACCTGGAAGGCTGAGATCTGAAGATCATAGTTCAAAGCTAGGCTGGGCAGGAAAGTATGTGAGACTCTTATCTTCAATTAACCCCCCCCAAAAAAGAAAGGAACCAGAAATGGAGTTGTGGCTCAAGTGGTAGAGTACCAGCCTTGAGCACAAAAGTTCAGGGACAGCTCCCAGGCCCTCAGTTCAAGCCCCAAGACTAGCAAACAAACAAAATAGAAAAAAAAATAGCTGGGTGATGGTGGCTCACACCTGTAATCCTAGTTACTCAGGAGGCTAAGATGGGAGGATCAAGGTTTGAAGTTAGTATGATCAGACAAACTAGAAAGACTCTTATCTGTAATTAACAGCAAAAAGCCAGAAGTGGAGGTGTGGCTCAAGTGACAGAACACTAGCCTGGAGTGAAAAAAGCCAAAGCAATGTGAAGCCCTGAGTTCAAGCCCCAGTATCAGCAAAAATAAATAATGTAGCCAAAAATAAATAATGCCTGTAATCCCAGCTACTCAGGAGGCTGAGATCTGAGGATCATGGTTCAAAGCTAGCCCAAGCAGGAAAGTCCATGAAACTCTTATCTCCAATAAGCCATCAGAAAACCGGAAGTAGCGCTGTAGTTTAAGTGGTAGAGTGCTAGCCTTGAGCTGAAGAGCTGAGGGACAGTGCTCAGGCCCAGAGTTCAAGCCCCATGACTAACAAAAAAAAAAAAAGGAGAAAAAAAATAATGCGAATAAATTTATCAATATCTATCCACATTCATCCATGTATGTGTGTATGTATTTGCCTATAACCTTGGTACAAGTTTAAGAGAGAAAAATAATGACTAGGACACAATTTGAGAATATCAAAATGTGACAAGAATGGTCACTATTAATGCTCATAGTAAAAACTAAAAGGATCAGATGCCTATGATAAGCGAGTGAACCATGACACTCACACACATGATTCATGCAAGTTGGGGATGGTATGGAAACTCATAAACTGTTAAGAGTGACTTTTGAGTCCTTTATTTAGAGTAAAAAGGAATGAAGGTAGCTGCTGTCAGAAGGAGAAAAATAATTCTCACTGCCGCAGTGCTGGGGATTGAATTCAGGGCCTTGTGCATGCTAGGCTTTAAAAAAAATAATAATTTTTTTGGATAGTCTTATTAGATAGCTCAGGCTGGTCTGGAACTCATGATCCTCTTGTTTCTACCTCTAAAGATTAAAGATGTATACTACTATCCCCAGTTCTGTAGACATTTATGATGGCCATTTGTTTTCTTCTTTTTAATGATTTCTTTTTGGGAGGGGGGTCCAATCGTGGGGCCTGAACTCTGGGCCTGGGCGCTGTCCCACAGCTCTTCAGCTCAAGGCTAGTGCTCTACCACTTGAGCCACAGTGCCACTTCCAGTTTTTCTTTTTGCTTATGTGGTGCTGAGGAATCGAACCCAGGGCCTCATGCATGCAAGGCAAGCGCTCTACCACTGAGCCACCGTCCCAGCCCAAGTGTAGCCTAGGCAGGCCTGGAACAAATGATCTTCCTGCCTCATCAGCTTGTTAGTGTATCTAGTATAGGGCAGCACAGAGGACAATTTTTAAAAAGCAAATGAATGAATACATATATAAAACACCACAACCCTCAGTTGACCTAGATAGATATCTAACCTGAGCACAAAATAAACCTTTCTTTGAAGCCACTGAGATTTGGGAAGAATTTTTTCTACTTCACTTGTAAGGAATATTTGGGTTGTTTTGACTCTAGTGCTGAGGATCAAACCACATGACAAGCAAGAGCTCTATCACTGAACTACAGCCCAGCAGGAGTCCTATATATGCTAAAAATATTTATTTATTTATGGCCTGTCCTGAGGCTTGAACTCAAGGCCTGGGTGCTGTCCCTGAGCTTTCACTGAAGGCTACCATATGAGCCACAGTGCCACTTCGGGCTTTTTCTGAGTAGTTTGGGAGATAAGAGTCTCATGGAAGCTGGGTGCCAGTGGCCTGTAATCCTAGCTACCCAGGAGGCTGAGATCTGAGGATCACAGTCAAAGCCCAGGCAGGAAAACTCCGTGAGACATCTATTTCTAATAAACCACTCAAACTGGAAGTGGTGCTGTGGCTCAAGTGGTAGAGTTGAAGAGCTAAGGGACAGTGTCCAGGTCCAGAGTTCAAGACCTACAACTGACCAAAAAAAAAAGTCTCATGTCATGCATGTGTTTCTAACGCATTTATAAGACTATCTCTTTGTTGCTTTGTATGTCCCTCCCCCACAGAATAACCCCTGCTTTCACTATATTTGATGTCAGTATAACTTGTGGAGGAGAGGGGGAAAAAACAGTTGTTTAAGGATACAGGTGGACCTGATGCAACAACGAGAAGTATAAGTTGTCATG